CTAATCACCAAACTATCGTTAAAAAATCTTAACAAAATCTTCCATATATCTTTTAAATGATATACTAATTATTGTAATGATATTTGAATAATTTTAGATAAAATTAACCGATATACAACATATTTTCCTAAAATCTTCAGGCTATTGGCTTGTTTTTTTTACTATTAAATCTGTTATAAGCCATCATACTATTGGCCTGCTATCATCTAGGCCGATTATTTGAAGATATAAGAATGTTATTTTTGATTTCGACCAGTATTACATGTTCTTGAAAATTATGTTTATCTACTTTAATTACAGTTAAATTCAAAAATAAATAAGATAAAAAATCTTAAAATGCAATTAGAATATGCATATGATTATGTAATAGAAAGTTGGGAATGTATTTACAAAATAAATAAAATAAATGAAAAGCTAACTGAAGAAAATAATGCATTAAAATATGAATGAAAAAATCAATATAGTAATCAAAAAAAAGAGTTGATTCCATTATTCAAATTGCAAGCCAAGAATACCAAAACGTTTATAACAATATCGAGGCATTAATTTTAAATAAACAACGGTTTTCTCTTAATAATTTATTAATTTTTGCTCCTACTAATTAGTTATCTAATTGTAACCCAGTAATAGTTAACTTTATTAATACTCTTACATGTAATGATAATAATAAAAGTAGTAATAATACTTCAAATAAAAAGATTTTAAAAAAATAGTTGCTATTGCTGTTATATATGGATTGAGACATAAAAACTACATATCAGAAATAAATCTAGCCATAACAGGGATCAAATATTCGTTAGCATGATCTAAAACAATTGTCGATATTGATAACTATATAATTAGTTCTAAAGGTTATATGAAATTCATTAATTGGTTGAAATCATTAGCAGTTGAAAATGAACCCTTATCTAAAGGACTTTTATTTTTAGCCTTTAATAATAAACAATGTAGTCAATTTAATTATCTTAATCATGGTCATAATACAGTTATCTACCATATAGTTACAAGTTTTGTTGCATTAAATATGTATAAAGATGATTATGCTCAATTATGCTCAATTCACGATTGCACCTTGGATTTGTAATTCGCAACCTGATAAGCAGTATGAAAAATTATATTATATTTTATCTGAAATGCAAGCAGAACACAAATCAGAATTAAAAATACACTTATCATCAATTTTAGAAGAGCTTGTAAGTGAAAAAAAAGAAAAAATTAATAATATCGACATGACTATAAAAAATCAAAAAGGCATCGGAAGTCAATCAAAGTGGTGCAAAAACTGCAATGCAATCAATATTGACAATAAAAAATATACCTGTCCTCAGTGCAATGAAAATTAGATATGTTAGCTGCTTTGCAAACAGAAGTTGCAGAATCTGCTAATGAATTAATTCGAATCAACAATCTGACTCAACCAAAATCTCTTGTAATAAAGTCCCACACATATAATCAAGAGCAGAAAAGTACTCAATTTGATCGTATTAGCATCACACAACAATTAGAACCTGAGACAATATTATTGTTCCTGAGATGTATATACTGGATCCATTAGAATTAAATCATAATTCCATAAATAATGTTAGAAAAGTTTTGGAGTATATACAAAATATTACAGAAATAATACATAACGCATGAAAGTGGTTATCTGTTACTTGCGATGGCGTTCCTTATACACTAGCTCAAAAGATTAAAAAGGACTTCATGTGGCTTATATTGATTCCTGATGCCTTGCATGAAGAAATAAATATACTCAAGGCATTTGTAGAACTAAACTGGTATAATTTTTTTTAATTAAATTAGCAAGAATAATACTATTAGGCTTAAAATGATTAGTATACTAATTTATTCTTTTTAAGGATAATTGATATCAAACAATTTGCTATTCTTCAAGAATACAGAAATAAAAACCAACTCGGGTTTTTTTAAAAAATGTGTCGATTATCACAAATCATGGGACTCTATTTGCTATATTTACTGACATGCTATGATATGTGAATTACTATGGCTATACGTAGTTATAACAAAAACTTCCTCAGTAGATGACTACCTAGATTGGGTGAAAAAGCAAGATGATTATATATATAAATTGAAATTTAAACAAGTAAATTTTTTTAAGATTTTTATAAAATATCAAATATACTAAAATAACTATTACTGTAATATAGATATTTATCTACCTTTAGGTGATCATTAATTTTTGCATGGGAGTTAGAAACAATAGACTATTGTTAGCAAGTACTGCTCGATATATATTTGTTCCAATATGGTCTGGTTGTAAGCACTCTATATACTGTTTAATCGAGATAACCTATGAAGAGCAATTGATGCGATTAAATTCTGAAATTAAGCATCATATAGAATTATATTCAGTTATTTCACAGTCAGGATATCACAATCAGTATCAAGGTCTTGATGCTATTTTCGAAGAAATCAATAAGTCTTTAAAGGCCTTAATTCCACCTGTATCTTTACAAAAACATTGGAGAATAGCAACATGTAATTGTACAAAGTTCATAAAGGTTAATAAATATCTTTACATTTAAAAAATATATATATATACCTAGAGTTTGAAACTGGATTCGACCTTCAGATTTAAATCTGATTTCTTTCGGACTTGATTCAAATTTTAATAAACTGAATCTATCAAATCTGCAATACTCACAATATCTATACATATGCATAGAGACAAAAGTATTAGACCGTCTATAGAATTTCTACAATATAAGCTTTTGTTCTTAAGTAATTGAATATTTTTCACTAAGTCTATATACGTATATGGATACAATGATGCTACTATCAACATAGACACAACCAGATATTATCAATTAAAATCTGATACATATTTTTACTAATTAAATAAATTTAGAATTGAAAAATGAAACCCGGTTCCAAACTCTATACATATCTATACTAATAATATTTATATATCACATGTTATTTAATATAATAGTGTATATGGATAATGAGTCATTGGGAAGTTGATCATGTCCAGATTATATATCAGAATCACAACGATTTCGAGTTCATTTGCGTAAAGCTAGGTTTCTGAATCCTCAAGATAATAATCATATTTTTAAGAGCCTTGGAGAGGAGTATCTACTTAGTGAACAATTGAAAATTTTTAGCAATTTGGTATGCGAAAGGCGAATCTTGTTTATTAACGAGACTTTTAAAAATAATAAGTCAAATTCCTTACTTTGGCCAATACCTATTACTGCTTAGAAGAAGTGGCCGCCATGAGTAAAGAAAATATAACCAAAAAAGAGTTCTTAGCAATCATTAATTTATTACTAAATTCTATCAATATTTCAGATTGCCTGAAGTATCGTGGATTACAGTAAAAGTCTCGTAGCGAATTGCAAGAAATTATACAAAGTATTAGAGACTTATATAAGAATCAAGATGAACTTGAAAGCGAAATAGAGCTAGAAAATTAAAATAAATAAATAAATAAATAACAACCTTAATAGTTCTATATTAACTATCATTTTAGCAGATTAAAAATAAAATAATACTTCGTGTTTTCTGGTTCCAGAACAACTTGATAGCATTTTTTTAAAACTGGTTGATCCAAATGATAGAACTTCGATCCTATTCTTCAAAAGCCATTCAGATTAAATTCAGATCATTCGTATTGTATTCGGATAGTGATCTGAATTCATTTGAGTAATGGTAATAATACCATATTTTGTATGTTGATTTTTTACTCTAATGAAGCATTATGCTCTCAAAAGTAATGTTAGCTTGATTCTAGAATAAAAAATACAATAACTAATACTCTGTGAAATACTACTCTGACATGTCCAGAATAATCAGATTTATTTAAGAGATTCCTAGTTCATTATTTAACAACCTAGTTAATTAACTAAATCAGCCAGCTTTTCTAGAATTACAATTTACAGATCTATCCTCTTAAATTAAATTAGTCAGATTAAGAGTCAAATGGAATATTTAAGATAGTTGATTTTTTTTTTTTTTTTTTAGAAGAGATGGCTTGGTTCTATTCAATTTGGCCAAACCAATTTGATTTTATGTTTTATGCTACTGCTTTTTTTTGGAATAGATGAAAAAAATTTATTAGTAGAATTAAAAGAATTTTTTTTTAAAGAAAAAAAAAATAATGTAACTCATACTTGCTGAAATTGCTTCTAATAGAAAAGAGAATGATGAAAAGAGAATGGAAAATAATTCATGTCAGGTCTTAAGAAAATTTTAAATACAAAAAGATATTACTAAAACCTATGGTGTTTTACACTGATATACATATTATCTCAAAAACTAGCTAATTAATTAGTATGAGGTGTTCTAAATAAAAATATTCTATATCCCAAAAACTCTTCTCAAATACTAATTCAAACTGCAAGTGTTAACCTTAATGTAAAGAAAATTTGTGTTAAAAATTTTGTATAAAAAACATAAAAACAAAAAAATTAATAAAAACATGATAGGTGCAAAACACCATAGGTGCTTTTATAATAATTGAATGTGAAATATTATAAAAAAGAGTCAAGATGCATGTCGTTACTTAACTTTCCAATATTTCCTTTTATAAAAGCATCTTATCAGCAGATCGTACAAACTATGCTATATAGCTAATTATTTTATAATATAATAATTCAATTAGTGATTTTACGTAATCGTTACAATCTGAAAATAATTTTTTAAGTTTCGCTTTACTCTTTTACATTTATAAAAAGTTTTTAGCCAATTAGGTTTAGTTCTATTTATTAATTCTAGAAATCCCTAGAGCGTTGTGCATTGCAAATCATTTTTATATTTGGAAATACTATAAATAGAAAAACCTCTGACTGTAATAGTAGCAGCTTTGACTCACAAATATTTGTTTTTATAAGTTATTGAAAAGACTAGATATTATAATAATAGTAGATCAAACTGCTCTAACAGATAAAGTGCTTAAAAATATACCAGAAATAGTTGTTCTATAGGTAAAATGCGATGATTTTAGGCTGTAAAATAATTAATATACCTCATAGTTCTAGGTGAGATTAGATTAGATTAGTATAAAAAACTCAGATTAGAAGATTTAAATAGAGATTCTACAGACAGATATTAGGTATAACTTATAAAAAGTAATTATAGATAGAAATAGATATAGTGAAGCTTTTAAATAAGCAATAGCTAAAGTTATATATGTATTTATATATATCCTTATCAGAATATACTTGTCTGAGGCCTTTTTGAAAAGAGCACTATATGATTCTACACATCTAATAAAAGCAATAAGCCAAAGAGGCTAGCCTTAACTATAAAATAAAAAAATAAATATCATATAGGCTTCTTTTTTAATATTAAATTTGAATATTATTGTTTTATTACAGTATAATTCTATTATAATTTATATTAGATAGTAGTGCTCCTAGTAAATTTTACTAGTTTCGAACTTCGGACCAGACTCAAACTCAATTACGAGTCCGGTCCGAAGTTTGCGAATATGTCCGGTCCAAGTCTGATAAGGTTTTTTGTAGCTTAGCCATCATATGCACGTCTGATTGGCTAGTGTATATAGATCGTTATAATTAGATCATCATAATTAATATGTAATCTAATATAATAAACGATAATCTAAGGAGTGGTTCTCTAAAATCCTGTCATGTATTATTATGGATAGTTCATGACTCAAGGAATTCATACGATATGCCTGATTAATATGTAACAATCCTTGTAAATGATTAAAACGTTGTTCTATTGAATGAATATAATCATTACTATTTGCTACATTATTGGCGAAATAAATTCTCATGATTATAACTCGAAATATCTATCGCTATGCTAGTATCTTGTTTACTCTGACATTCGATAAGTTTCTCTCCAACCTCTTAGTGCTTCTGCACCATTTTGATACAATGTTATCAACTGCTTAGATTTGCAAGTGGAAAATTTATCTAGAGGCAAGCATCTGGCCAACAGTGACATATGTTTTCTGCATACGATATTTATTCATCATTTAATGAATTACTTCACGTCTTCTTAATGCTTACAATATCTTGGTTGCTCTTTAATTATTCACATCGATCTATAATGATCTGTTTACGTTTAAAGGAGAATGTTCATAACTACCTATCGTATGATAGGTTACCCTAAGATTACTAATGTATTGATTCCTGATCATTATTGATTTATTTAATGTGCAAGTGATTATTCGTATCTTTCCATGTCTTACTACACAATTTTACAGTAAGTTGCACCGTGCTATCTCAATGAGAGTGTGTTGCCTGGATGATTTGTTTAATTCTGAAGGTGCTTCTTATGCTCAACAATATTGTCACTTGTTCGCTGAATGGTATTTTATTCACAATACTGTTAATTATTGTGCTGTCTGGACTGTGTCTCCGTGGTTTGTGGAAACTGCATTATTTATCTTGAATATCATTGCTTTGGTTTGTATGTTCTGTGTGTCCTCAATGTAATTTTGTTTGTTGGATTATGATTATTGTACGTTGCATTATCGATACCTTCGTTGCTTGGGCTGCTGCATCAGCATACATCTCCATTCATATTTGAGTCTTTCTTAGGGTTTGCATTTTTTTTGACTACCCAGTGCTTTAGCTATTTCTGTTGATTTCTTGGATCCATATTATCACCTATTGTACTTGGGAATACCTCACAGTGTTTGGTCTGTTCTTCTTGCGAATCTCGCTTCTTGCTTTTGATGGGGCGCTATCTGACTGTGGTGACTAATCGTTATGTTCAATTCAACAACGAAGTTATTATAAGTAATCTTTCAATAATTCTAAATTGAGCAATTGAATTATACGTACGTACTTATCTGAGAGCATGTGCTTCTTCATGTGCCGCTAGCTTATCTTTTTGCTTGATCTGGATAATCCAGCCACTAACCGGTTTTGAATGGTGGTCTCAATCTGTTAACCTTCCGTCAACTCGAAATAATTACATTATATTTCTTGGTTTTATTTGATTTAATTTATTTAGCGTTAGTGAGTATTAAAATCCTTTATAAATAACGTTTCCGAATACTCTAAATTTACACACTGTACATGATCGTACTGGTCTTGTGCAGCTACCTTAATGTAGTAAAATTAGATTAATGCAAATGAAATGAATAGTGCGTAATAGTAAATAAATATTTATGACCTTGTATAAATAAACATATTCGGACTCGGACCAGTCTGCAGACTTCGGACCGGACCGAACCAGACTCAGACTTGACTAAAAAGTTTGAATATAAAAGTCTGAGTCTGGTCTAAAAATTGAACCAGACTCAAACTTGACTAAAGTCTGGTTCGGGTCCGGTCCGTAGGAGCACTATTAGATAGCTAATTTTTAAACCATTATTAAAAAATTCATAAAATAGGTATTATATACAGTAGTATTAAATATATAGAATGCTTTTATTTTGGCTTAGAATAAGAGTTAATAAAATTTTAAGTAATAGGTCTTTAAAAATTTAAGCATACAAATATAAATGCTATATGGTTCAAGAAATAAACAATCTTTAAAAAAGAATAGCTTCTGATTTAATGATTTGTTTTTGAATAATATAATTACAAACATAATCATCTTAATAAAATGATTCTAATAAGCCTAAAATTACCTAAATCTAACTATGTACTAAATTCCAAAATATTAATGTCTGTAAAATAAATTGTCTATAAAGTAAACTATCTGTGAATAAATTGTCTATAAAATAAGATGTCTGTAAAATGATTTTCTGTAAAGTGATATGTATTCATAAAAATTAGAACTATTTTTGTCAACTTCTAGAGTAATTTAACTTTCTCTACAAATACAATAAGCTTTTTGATTCTAAATATCTTCGATTAACTCGTAGTAACCTTTATGAAATATGATTCATGTTTCATAATTAGTCTTGATATAGGATAGACTTTCAGTTTATTAAAATATTAATAAATATCGTGCTTAACCTATTCTAACTGTATCTTGGTTAAAAGAAAGTTTCATTAGGCGAAAGAGGATATAGTATGAAATGAATAAGGTAACACATATATACAGTGATAACGTCCAAAGAATCACTGTCGTCATAACTTCACTTTGGGCCCTTACTTGTAACTATTTTCATATTCGGCCCTTATATGTAACTTCCCCATTTACTTATACATATAAACATCCGACAATAAATTCACTGACAATACGATTCACCAACAATAATTCGCTGACAAGTTTATTTCACTGAAAGTATTTTTCACTAACAAATTTAATTCACCGACAAGCTCGTTTCACTAACAGTACGATTCACCGATAAGTTTATTTCACCGACAGTATGATTCACTGACAAGATTATTTTACCGACAGTACGTTTCACCGACAAGTTACAGATACTTATTTCACTAATGGTATACACATTTCCCAAAAGTTATTTCTGTCATCCCATTTCATCGACATTATACATTTTACCTACAGCACATTTTTTCGAAGATATTTATCTGACATTACATTTTTCGAAAACCCTTTTCTTAGACAAAATATCTCAACGACAATAATTTTTCTGACATAAAATTGGCCTATTTAAAATTAGAGTTGGCTTGATTTAAGGTTAATATTATAATTGTCAGAAAAATATCTTGTCTAAGAAAAGGGTTGTAAACATGTAATGTCGGACAAATGTCTTTTCGAAAAAATGTGCTGTAAGTAAAATGTCTATGGTGTTGATGAAATAGGATGACAGGGAAATAACTTTTTTAGGCGTATACCGTTAGTGAGATAAGTCTGTAACTTGTCGGTGAATCGTACTGTACTGTCGGTGAAATAAACTTGCCCCGATACTGTCGGTAAAATAAAGTTGTCGGTGAAACGATACGTAACCAAACGCCTCTAACGCACCTAATTTCCCCACACTTCTGATTGATTCTACTAATTATTCACATATCTGATATCGGAGTATCTATGTTATTAGTGAAGTGTGGGGGGAAATGGTAAACCCCTCTAACCCTACACCAAACCTAACCTAAAGTGACCCTAACCTAAAGTGGCCCTAACCCTAAAGTTAATCCGATAAAATACTAATTTATAAGTTATCTCTGCTTTAGACGTCCCTTATACTTGGAACGGTCTTCTCAAAAAATTTGATGATTGACTGTCTTCTTTTTAGAAGTTTGTATTACTGGTACCAATAAGTAAAGCCGCTCTAACCGCATACCCCATTGCTATGGCCAGGAACGATGATTTTCTGCAAAACACAGAATGCCACAGAATTTGCAGAATTCACTCGTTTTTGTAGAAATTGAATTTGATTACGAATAATTACAGAATTGACCTAAATTTGACCAGGATCCAATCAAATTGCGCGCTTTGCTGGAGGGATAGACAATCAACTAACATAAAACACGAGCACGATCGGCGGAAAGCTTCGGAACATAACTTTTTGAGCAGATAATCACAGAAATTAATTTAATTAGCGCAGAATCACCGCAGCAATCATCGTCCCTGCTACGGGCACAAACATACACGTACTTATGGGCACAACAATGACCCGCATTACTAAAATATACCTACCCTAATATTAACCCTGGCCGATGTTGACTCGTAAGTTACGTTGAAAGTTGTGTCCGTAGTTTTCCGGGTATAATTCCCCATAATTAAATAATTAAATAATAAAATTCCAAGGAGCTTGTGCTACGAGAATTGTCCACCATGCTGGTTACTGACGCTAGAACAAAACCAATCAAGGTGCAGAATCAGGTGTAACGTGAAAATTGAAGCAGAATAAAATTTTCGAGAAATGTAGTCTTTGGATCACCATCTTAGTCATCTTACTCTAGGAGACGTTTAAAGCCTGGCACCTTCTGGTTTTTCGATTTTTAATTAATAATAGGGTTAGACATAGGCTAGTAAGTTAATAGATATAGAGTAAAAATCACTTTTTCGACACTTTTACTTAGTGCATTATATTTTCCTTTGTCGGTTTGTTCGGAATAATCCGTGACGCGTGTCGGGTAATTTCGTAAGGTGCCCGACCCTTACTCTAACCTTAACCCGGTTGCTCTTTAACTTTAATAGGGTGGCAATGCATTGCATTGACGATATGCTGTAACAAGTAATATAATATTATCATTAAAATTCGGACACCAGGTCCATGTATTTTACCCCAAATTTAAATTTTAGTTGCCAAATTGCATATTAATAAGTCAATGTTAAATCACGAAAAAATTAATGAATCTCTTCTATATTGCAGTATTGATAACGCGTCTTCATGTTCCTACTTTGACGCATCTCATTTAAAAAGTGTAAAACGAAATTTATAAGATCCGTTTGGCAGAGTTCGGATTATTCAGAAAAATAACTATATTTAGTTGTTATATATATATATATATATATATATATATAAATCATATGCACCTATATTATTGCACGATAATTGTGGCAACTGGAAAATTCTGCACTAATCTCAATTAGGAATGCCCCACTCTTGGGGGTGGGTAAAAATAATTTTTTTTTCATGGCTGAGAGCTCAATACCATGTATAGAAGAGAAAACTACTTGGGCGTCAATAAAATCAGTCTAGGAATAAAACGCGTCTAAAAATGTTTACTGCATCTATTATTAACGTTGCCGCACATGACATGAAAAAAAGATAACCGAACTCGACGGTCTCCTTAAACATATAATTACCGTAAGTGTTGACTCTTCCCATTCACAACAGGTGATGTAAGTATTCAAGGATAAGACAATGGATATTAATTCTTGGCATTTAATCCTTGGCAATTTAATCCATGGCAATTTAATCATATGATTTATAAAACCAACAAGAATTAAAGATAATAATTAAAGATAATAATTAAGGATAATAATTAAAGATAATAATTAAAGGAATTACTAGTTCAACAATGAAATTGAGAACATCACTTGTAAGAGGACGAAAGAGAGACTCAAGAATATACATAAACAAATTTGGGGTAATCATTTCAGTTTAATAGTTTAATAATTTCAGTTTATAATATTTTCAGGTGAATATCATACAAAGATTGCATTAAGGCTTGTGTTTTCAGGTAGAAGGAATCAAATGATCATCATATGCGAGAGAACGTTTTTAACACAATTTTTATAGGAAATAGATCGACAAAAGCAAAAAATAGGATTGCATATAAACCTTTAACGTGAAATGCTTGAATGGAAATTATTAACACAATAACGATGAACAAAATATTATACAACCATTTTATCCGGAATTCAGAATTCCAATTTGTCATACAACCATTTTCGATAGCAATAATTACAAATCCCCATTGAGTGAAAAGATCTAATCTTATCAAAAACATCAGAGTTTGAATTTGCAGGCTGATTCATTTTATTTACGCCACCAAATAACAAAGCATTTGCACCATTATTAATTCTGTAATTAATTGGTAGTTACCGTTAATTTGCTCGCATTTTAGTATGAAAGTATGAAAAGTTGCATTATTACACATCGTACTATTTACCATTTTGGTAAGTGATGTAACAGAATAATTTCATACAGCATATCAAAACCATCTAATCTTATCTTACAAGCTGATAACACGTTTTTTTTCTTTATTATTAAAGACAGTCGCGTAACATACACGTCATAAATTCGCATACAAACACAGCACACGCAGCCGAGAGATAATGAATAAACAAATTAGAGAAAAGACAGACGTCAAAGTTTTTTTTAATGCTAAACACACTATTGTAACTATTGTAACTATTGTACAATTGGCAAAAAAAAAACACGTAGGGTCTAAGGTAAAGTCCGAAACAAATGTTTTTAGAATACAATTAAAAATGAGATTATTGAGATATTGTTGTTCAAAAAAAAACGCCCAATTCCCCACAAAATATTTTCCTTTCTTTGACTTTAACTATCTTTTTAGACAGTGATAGATGATCTACCAAATAAATTAATATAACTGAGTAGTTTACAGTATATGACATAATATCTGCAAGGTCATAAAGTCAAAAAAATATTTAGCATATATGCTGTCATTTTATTCATTTTATTATTATTGTATTAGTTTATTGTGTCTGTATTCTCTTTTCCTAACTTACGTCGTCGTACCACCTTTTTTTTTTTCAGGGTGAATTACGCAGTATTCAATTAAAATTATCCGGGTGTTATTATATGCTATTATATGCTAATTATATGCGCATTGGGCAATCTATAAGAAAAAAAACACGATTAATTGCATGTTAGATATTTATTCAACTGATAAAATGTAATTAAAATAATTATATTAAAATACATTAATTATGTTTATGTTAAAATGTAATATCAAAATATAAAATATATATTAAAATATATATTAAAAGGTGTTAAATAATGTAAGATATATATTTAAAATATTTAATATATATATATATATTAAAATGTAGAACATAAAGTGTTTGATCTGTTTAGCCAATAGGATACGTGAGAAATAATAGCATTCCCCACACACCTGAACCAACATTTTTTTTTTTTTTTTTTTTTTTTTTACCAATACCAATACCAAAATATTACATATATTACATACATACATTAACACTGACGCAAAGATATACATTTGATTAATAACTGATAACCGAATCAATAATAAATAGATCTGATAATTATTTATGTGGTTTAAAATATTACCTTATTTACAGCATGCACATTGCTCCCTTTTCCTTCCAATGATGCCTATACATCTTTTTTCGGCGTAGCACCAGATTAAAAAAAATTTTTTTGATCCCTATATGATCCCTCGCTTCACCTCCTGCTCTCATTCTTTCTTCTTCCTTTCTGCGGCCTCCCCTTCTCTCATCTTTGACATTAGTTTTTTCTCATGTTATATGTCTTCTATTTAATTCATATCAATTTATCACATTCCTAATTAAACAAATTAGACACAAAATAAAAGAAAATCTCAATTTATAATTTTTTCGCAAGAAAAAACTGTCTTTACATTCGAAACATTCGAAATTATCCCCAAATTTCTATTTTGAACGAATTCGTATTTATTACTATCAACAAATCTTTTGAGACTCTTTTTTTGTGATCAAATAACGTACTCTATAATACCATAATATATATACTGTTATTATTATTTTTTTTATTTTTATTATTTGGTTTCTCTATTTTTTACAAAAAATATAAATGGACTCCACTCTTTTGAACGAATTCAGAAAGCTATCCGTAAATCCAACAACATATACCTTTTTGAATGCTTCAGGTAAATAACTTTTATTAACATTATTAACATGGCTTTTCTTTTCATTTTTTATTCGTTTTTCGGTTCTTTTTTTTTTTTCTTATCTTTTAGAGTTGGTTTCTTAAGATCAGTTTTACGATTTCGGTTTAGACTAAAAGTTAATTGTAGATCCTTAGGATAAACCGAATATGTTCATTTATCTTTTTTTTTGATATCATTACGTAAATTATTCTCCCATTAGTCGTTAGTACAAAGTTACAGCATTGTTGTACACATGTTACCTTTTTATCTTATCTCTTTTTTTTTAGTTACGCCATATGCTTGATTCGACTTTGTTTGTTTATAAATACTCAGTCCGCAATTTCATTATCTTTATTTGGGAAAAACTTAGCAACACCAAATGTCAATCCTGTCAATATTTAAACTAATTAGATCTCTATATTTTTTTTATTGTATATAGATAAATCTATACAATCGCGACATACTTTCTTTCCGTCAATACCATCTCCTCAAATCGAATATGAAATGGATTTAGTTTATGAAGATCAAGATTTTATGATTGATGGTGATTCTTCTCGTGAAGCTTTCTTTTACAACACAATTGAAGGGGAGGATGAATGTGAAGAAGCTGACGAGTCGTACATTCAATCACTCAATTTCGATACCACTGTAAATGATCCTGTTTTAGCGAGTTTCGTAAATGAACTTTTTCAAGATTCCTCAGATCATGTTATCTTTCAAAAATTTTATTATTTTAATACTTGTTACTATGAGGTGATTTTTTTTTTTTGATTTTAATGGGGTTATTTGGTTTATTGGATTTAATTGGTTTAACTGGTTTAATTGGTTTATTTGATTGCGTCAATTATTCTTAATTGCTTAATTGCTTAATTTTTACTTTTTATTTTTTATTCTTAATGTTTATTCCTAATTTTTACTTTTTACTTTTTATTCTTAATGTTTAATTCCTAATATTTACTTTTTATTTTTATTCTTAATGTTTAATTCCTATTTTTTATTTTTTATTTTTTTTATTTTTATTCCTAATGTTTAATTTCTAATTTTTATTCTAATTTTTTTACGTTAAAATAATAGGTACTACATCATGGCAGTCATATACAGCCAGCTTTACAAAATATTGCTCTTATCGTTGAATCCTGGCTCACTGACAAATTGCTATATGCTGCTGAAACTATCCCCACTTCGGAGGAGTCGCCTCAAATTTCCCCTATTCCTATTTTGGAGGAATCTCCTCAAATTTCAGCTGAAAGTATAATGACAAAACTAAAAATGTGTATGTTATTTTCTTTAATCATTGGAATTAGCAGTAATTGGCTTATGTTAACTATATAATTATATAATCATATAATTATATAAACATATAATTATATATAATTATTAATTATATAATTATATAATTGGTTTAAACAATAGTTTTGGAAGCATTCAACGGTCTATCAAAAGTACATATAAACATTCGAGCTGGTCATGTTTATTTACTTTATATGACAGACGGTGAAATTGTAATATCTCCAAATCATAAACAATTCATTCAAGAGGTAAGATTCATTTTATTACTTATTATATTTATTACTTATTATATTTATAACTTAAGATACTTAATACATACATTCGAGAAAATAATATATATTGAAAAAAAAATTCGAAATTCGCATATGTTTCTGTATAGTTCTGTTAATAAGAAAAAAGTTTTAGCTTTAGTATTTTATTTAGTATTTGATTTAATATTGATTTAATATTAAATTTGTTCAATGGGTTCGATTATTCACTAAACTAACTCGAATCCACTTTGTGCATTTAAAGTTCCCCCTGTTTATAAATGTCTCAATCAAAGCTCAGGAACAATCAGCCGCATCACGTCACAACACGTGTAGAGTGCTGGTATCCGTCGAACACGTGACAATTAAGGGAGAAGATCGAAATGATATTGCCCCGAACAGAATTTCATATAGTCATCAATTGATCGATGGTACTACACGAACTGCATCTTCAGCTGATGGTCAAATATTTTATTTGTTGGATGAAGTCCCAACTACTGTAAATTATGTGGGGAATAACAATGCTCGTTTTTATAGTGGTGCGAGTTATGCGGGCGAAATAATCGTTCAACCCTAATTCGAAAATCCGAAAAATATGTTGAAAGAGATTATATCGTGGTACTTACAGTAATTTTCACATCTTACAAAAAATTTTATTTTTATATCGATTTCATTGTTATATAAATTTAACCTTTTTTTGTTTTGATTCCTTGTGTTTATTTTCGTGTAAAAAAGAAATTTTCGCTTATATTTGTGTTTCTCTCTCTTTTTCTTTTTTTCATTTAACTTATTTTTTTTCTATATCATAATGCGGAGGGATGGAATTTTGGTTGGAATGGTTGAAATCGACCGATAGCGAACAATTTTCGAGCAAAAAAAACATTCGATTTTTTTCAATCCCAACCTTTTATAACAAAAAAAAAAAACAAAACAAAAAGTATATATATATATAAATATATATATTCAGTAGTATCGAAAGTAATTTTAAACAAGAGAAAAAATTGGAAACGAAAATAATACCGGAAGATTTATATAACGGTGTATGGATCATATATGGGTCATATGGGTCACATATGGTGGACGACGAAAAAAGAAAATGAAGGTAAAATATATATAATATATATGTAATATATGATGATATGAAAAAGAGCATTTATGCTCTTTTTCATCGGTAATTCTAGCGTAAGGTTATTTCATTTCTAAGATCCATATTTATAAGAAGTTGGTACATTTTTCTTTTTTATATGATTTGTATATTTATTTATGTACTTTATTTTATTTTTTATGTTTAAAATGACCAACGAATATCATTTCATTTTTTTCACTTAAGAACCTTTCAAAAAAAAAAAAAAAATGTATGAATTGTGAGAAAAAAGGTAGATCATTAAATCAATATCTTCATTATCGTTATTATCAATAAAATAATATGTAGTATGATTTTATATATTTCAGTATTTTATTATTTTATATAAACACATATTTAAAAATCTTCGCTCTCATGATATCGGTATGATTAGCTAAGCATCAAAAACAAAAATCACAATCAGTAAACTTTTTAATCGGCTCCGATATCACGAGATCGAGGATAATTTGACATTCGCTCTGACTTATCCCAAAGATATCAAGGATATGCGATATCCATGGATTTATTAATGTAAACGAATCTTTGGGCATACAATGTCAAAGTTTGTTTACGCGATTTGGCAAATTCTTCCTTCATAATACCTTGGCTCTCAGTTATCGTTTCACCTTTGTTAATCGGTGCAATATTTGACTGAAAATAGTTAAGATCGTCATTATACGCTTCATAGTGTTTCATAACAAACTTGTGAAATCATTGATTCTTTCTAAAGCAAAAAAGCCTCTCTTTTAATATAATTTTATTCCTTTTTTGTCATGGAAAGTGATTATATTTTTTGGTGTACGAATTTGCCAATAATAATTTGAAAATAATAGGTTATCAGGCACTACTTGATAACGGTTTTATCCGACGGCTTACTAATTATCAGTTATTGGGCAGAGGCAATAGTTAACCTATTTTTAACCTTTCGTTTCTATAAGCTGCCGGATAATAATACGTAATACTGCATCAAAGATAATTTATTTTTGAATAGTCAAATAGATCCCTTAATTTTTGATAATATACGTCTCTTTCATTTTTACAAAACACAAATCGTATGATTTATTTTGATTTCTATAGAAAAAAATCTTAAGATATCCGAGTCTCGGAGTTTTTCGTACATACGTACATACGTACGTACGTACAGTACATAGATTGTGATCTCTTAATATATACCATTTATAGGCTATTAATATATCTTCAGGTATACAAAATACATGAATTCAAACTTTAATCCGAAGGCGTTATTTTCTGTAGTGTTCCTACGTATAACAACAATTTATGCAAATATTATCGCACTGCACGAGGACACCCCTCAAGCTAACATCTGAATTTCAATATTCCCACGAAGATCGCTTGGACCCTCAGTAGTTCCCACGTTGAAGCATTTATTAGTCCCGAGATCCTTTACATATCTAGTTTTAAGCAACCAACAAAGGTGAGATTTTGATAGACAAAATGAAAGATATTACTTATAATGAAGTTCAAAAATTACCTCATTTTATAATAATGAATGTCAAAAGTTTTAGGAATTACTTCAAAGTTATACCGTGCAATTCATATTCCTGTTTGTATATGTTTGTGTTTGTATATGTTTGTATGGTTTATATGTTCGGGTATCGGTAATAACGATACAGTTATCTGTTATCTTAAGTTGTGGTGCATAAACTGGTTCGAACTGGTTTTTAACCTAGTTTCTAGAATAGGTGCTTCGTGTAACTTTTATTACAAATTTTCTAGAATAGGTGCTTCGTGTAACTTATTACAAATTTTCTAGAATAGGTGCTTCGTGTAACTTATTACACGTATTAACTGTTAAGTAACTTTATTCGAAATGATATTAATAACAAGTTTGATTAGTGGAAACAAATAATTATTGCTTTCAAACAGTTTAAGCAAACCGGTTTCATAAACAGAGTTTCTATGCACTAAAATGATAATATCTATCTACGTATTTCATATCTGATATTTTACTAAATTACTGACTGCCATTAATAAAGTATGTTCTTAAAAGCGTTGTGAATGAGTTTAATTAGTCACATAGTCATAGCGATAGCGATACGTAGTAATAATGAACATCTCATTAACGTTAACGTTAAGCAGATTAGAGCATATTCGATACGTACGTATGTACGTACGTAGATTTGTTCGAGTAATACAAAGAAAATAACCAATCAGAATAAAGCCTAGTACTGTATAACGATCGATAATCAATAGATTAGATAATAAAAAATTTTTTACTTTTACAAATGGCCTCGAAAGTTTTAAAATTTTCTGGTCATAATTACTTCAGACAAAGATTAATTCTCGCTACTTTAAGTGGGAAGTCTGTTAAAATCGATAAAATTCGTTCGAACGATAGTGATCCTGGATTAAAGGGTAAATTCTTTTAAATTAATGAATAAATAAATGAATAAATAAATAAATAAATGAATAAATAAAAATAAATATATATATATAACGAAACATACGAAACATTCTATTGATGAGCTTTGTAACATTGGGAATCCAGATTTTGAAGCAAGTTTTTTAAGATTGTTGGATAAAGTTACAAATGGATCAATAATAGAGATTAATTATTCAGGTTGGATCATATAAAAAGTTTTTTTTTTATTTGATTTCATTTGAAAATGATTTAAAATTTTAATTTTCGTTAATCCAG